ATGCAGTTCCTCATTGTTTCTGTTTCGACAGGTGTCTGTAACCAAGTGTGGCATTGATTGTGAGGCTTCGAGTCTGGTAGACTAATCTCGTTGGGCAGGGTGTTCTTCTACTAGACCCACTGAAATTAGCCTTATGGGTTCTTTTAGGTAAGAGCAGGAGGATACAATTCTGATGGCATATCTGAAGTAAATTTGCTCTTTTATTACGTCGGGTAATACTAAAACTCGTAAAAGAACTTTATTATTTCCCAGCTTTATTGTTCTATTTTAAAAAGGGGATCCAAATGTCGATCATTGATGGGCGGATGGGACGAGGAAGCAGAATAAAGAGATAAACCTTTAAAAGTAGGGAGGATGTGAGATACTACTGTGTTAGACATTTGTAGGGTACCAAGAATGGAGTTGTTTTGACTCCATAATCAGCATTACTTTAGTCAGCGATGGTACCGGGCTAGATGTTCCTTCGTTTGTTCAATTTTCCCATCTACCGGATGATGAACTTGCAGAAGGTAGAAGGAGAACATGGTCTGTTCTGTGAAGGTTTCATTTTCACCGTCATCACCACCGCCACCATTGCGACCATTTCCTGTCACCATGGCCTGAGCTGTTCTATTTGCCTCTCTTGCATGAGTACCTGCAGCTTGCCTTCCTATCAGATGTTCTGTCAATCAGTATCATCTCCTCACCCCCCTTCGTAGTACTGAGTTCATTAGATACCTCGTTGGCAAGAGGAACATCAGGTTTGCTGTTTTTCCTGGAAGGAAATGGTGTACGCTCTTGCCAAGTCCTAATAACTGCTAAGACGTCTCAGCTGTACATGCTTTTTCTGCGGCAAATAAACTATTCCCAATGAGTGTTTTGACTACGTTCAAGCAGTGGTATGCTAGTTTGCTTTGCTTGGGAAGACGGAAACTTCTCCGCAGTTGTGGCACGCAATACAGGTCATTTCTACATTCTTGATGCATTTGCCTTCCGGTGCTTTGTCACCAAGGTTATACATGATCTTGGGTGGCATCGTCTTTGCCCACCCTATACAACACCCTCTGGAGATGGCAAACGACAACTTGGATCCAAGGATACACACCCTTCCACTCATGGTCTTTTTCTTCCATGCCTACACAAAGACAGATGGACAGAGGCATGTGTGTCCTTAGTAATGCATACCTTCAACAGGCTCTTATTTCCCAACGAAATGCGGATTATTGCACTGACACAGAAAAACGAGTGCCAGCTTTTTGATCTCATGATATACTACTGAAATGTCTATGGCCGTCCCACGCTGACCATTTCCGCATTTTAAAATCCATTCATATTAAAAAATCAGGTCTAAAATCTTTCATCTCGGTCGTTAATCATGTTTATTTATCATGGCTGTTACTGTTTCGTCGGTTATGCAAAAAAAATCCCGGAAGAAGGCATTAACAATCAGAGTTGGTTTGTTAATTCGTTTATTTACCATATACCGTAATGGCCACAGCTACTACCACGTCCACATCCGCATCCACCTCCGCCATCTCCACAACCGCAGCAGTTGCAACAGTTGCAGCACTTACAGCCACAACAACCGCAGAGTCGGAAAAGGACAAAAAAGATGAGGATTTTCTTCAAATCATCCAATGTGATTAGATCCGTCACGACTGCCATGATTGACCTGCAGTGGAGGTCGTTATAGCGCTCCCTCACCACTCAATGAAATGAGATGGTAAGACATAAAAACGTAGGTTTGAGTGACCTCATTGACCAATGCAAATGCACATGCGTGTAGGTGTGACCAATGTTGAACTATTGTCAGGTCATTAAGAGTCACAGTTTTGATGTCTGATTTACAACCATTAAAAAGGGAATAACCTATTCAATTAGTATTTATTAACTGTTTGAATATGTGTTACGGAGTTACCCAGTCACTCACAGGGGTCTAGCGGTCGAAGTCCAGTTACTGAAGGTATCTTTGAAGACTTGGACTGAGGCAGTAGATTATCTGTGTTTTGAAAAACTTCACAGTTCTTAACGCAATTGCCAGGATTGAGGAGGGTATAGTCAAAATATGCCTTGTTTAGCATGTGACCTCTCATTCTTCTGATCTAAGTTTTTCTTGGATTTAATTGACTCATTGAAGTGAGTGCGTTTGTGGCAAGTGGAGGCTCCTTGACTTTTCTTTGCAAAAATGCGAGCTGCCACGTGGGTACTGCGTGTGGCAGAAAGCAACAGGTCTGTCCACCATGCACGCTGGGGACCCGGTTTAGACTCGGCACCCTTATTTAGGCTGTCAGATGGTGATGATAGTGCTAGCACACAGAAAAGACATTAGACGGAATACGGCGCAACTAAAAATTAATGGTAGACAAAAAGATAATTGTTTTATATCAAAGCTCTGTGTGTCAATGACGACTGCGGCTGAGATGGTACCCTGTCCACCACGCGACCAGCCTCTGTCGTTGATCAATTTGCCACCTTAAGCATCATTTGTCAAAAAATTATAACTACAAACGAGTTTTTTGGTAGGAAAGATCAGAGTAATCATGATTACAAGCATAAATTATTTTACCTTTGATGCTTAGCAAAAATGGGACTCTACAAAATAACTAAGGAAGCCCTTTTTTGAAATAAGAATAGGATTTTTGAAAAATCGGCACACTCTTGTTCTTTACATTTACAAAAGATGTGTTTGTAAATCGAGAAGATATGCTTAAAAGAAAAGACGTGACCTTCATCAAGTGTTTAAGTTTTCATCTCAGCGTTACAGCGGAATTTCGAAGTGTGTCAGGTCATACTGTAACTTGGTGTAAGATGTCAAGACCTTTGCACGCAAAATTTGCTGGTCCTCGTTTGGCAGCTTTTTGCTTATTTAGTCATTTTTGAAATAAGCGTAAATTTGGCACGTTTGGATTTGGTACCCAGGACATGGGACGTTTTACGGTGTTGAGGTTTGTCCGCAACAGAAACGACTTGTCGTCAAGATGGTGACCGAGGCCTGTGGAAGCTGAGCTACCCGCGCAGGTAAACTTGCAATTTAGCACGTTCGTTAACCGGATCCCAGGGTAAAAGTGACCACCACATCGGAGACATTCCAACGGCTTAATATAATACCAGTCAGCGCTAGTCGTTTTTACTAACTTTACCACCACTCAAAGGCAAGAACCGAGTATTTTTTTCTCAGATTAAGGGCGTCTTACATCTATTTCATTGTTTTAATGCTCACCAAACCGTTTGTCGCAAGCGATTTTGTGCCGTATAAATCTGAGTTCAGGTGGGAAAGACAAGACGTCACATATATGTGACCTCAATCAAATTTACCACAAACGCATTGATGTCCGCTGTCGTTGACGTTCTGGCTGAAGTAGACGAAATGTTCCATAGATGTATTTATTGCCTTGAGCTCCACCTCATTCAAAGCCGAAGACAACTTCAAATAATGAGCAATAATAAAGTAATTCCTTTTCTTGCCTTTTACTATTTTATTTTGTTGCCATAGCTGTCATCGCTGATATATTGAAATGTCTACTGTTGGCTGTAAGTAGTGCCAAGTGTCTATCGCGAATTCTTCGCAGATGTTTTTATTTTCACTAAGCGGTTGTGGTTTCTAGAATTGCTTAGCTGACAAATATGGCATTATTTATCTTATTTTTGTAAGAATGAAAGCAATGCGCAATCAAGATGCGATGTAAATTCAGGCAAATTTTTATGGCGCTCATTAGGAAAGGCAATCGTGTTTCGTGATGGAGGATTCCAGATTAGCCCGCTTTATATTTGCAGTACACGCTTTCCAAAGTGGAGTCTTGGCATCTACTCCGCCTTATCGCCATTCAGACATCTGGCTGGATTTTATCCAGCTACTGGGAATGTGGCGAGGTTATTATTTTCCCGCATAATTCAGCTATCTGCATTAGAAGTAGCATTTGTAAGTCATCCAAATTCTGTTTTGCTTCAAATGTTAGTTGCTCTCTTGCAAAATACAAGGCTTTGATAGTTCCTCTGTTTCGAGGCCTCACCGATTTATCCATCAATGATAATTGCCTTTTAAAGTGGAATGTTAGTTTTGTCAACCATTCCTAAAATTGGGCATTTTGGTTCATCTGGACCGGAGTTAATGTCGTAACTGCACTGTCTGTGTGCCTCTTGATGACTGTATAGAAGAATTAATGATCTATTGGGGTTTTAACCCTTTACGGTCAGTTATTCTGTTTCAAAAATACAAACTTGCTGCAAATTCCATCTTTATAAAACACACTTTCCACTTTATTTTCTAACTGTCTATCCTGGCTTGTATTGGCTTATATGCCTGTCTTGCCTCCTGAAGAAGTGTGGGAGAAGTACAGATATTGAGGTGGATTTTCTGTGAATTTCAGCCTGGAAAGAGACACAGAGAAGCAAGTGTGTGATTTTCTTCCCACGACTGACCTCTCTTAGACTTTTGTGGAAGTCCTTCTTGCACACCACCGAGTTGTATCATAGCGAGTGGAAAGAGCCCAATTGTAATTCCTCTCCTCCATCTCTTACAGACGAAACATTGTATGCCTAAAAGCTGAATGGATAGCTTGGCAATAACAGGTGATATACTTATTCACTTGACTTTGGTATACAATCGTCTCTATTCATTTTAAGTCATTCAGTCAGAAGTAACGCGTGATACTTCAACACTACCAAGAATATACGTTCACCTTCAACATAATCCATCTGTCTTCCAACTATAAGCCAACACAACATTCAGCGTTTCTGCAGCTTTAGAGCTGAGTCCAAAAGATTCCTGTAAAATAGACAGTCTAAGAGACGGTGTGAACATTTTTGGTCACCTGACGCACTGTGATTCTACACCATTAGCCTAGAAGAGATTTTTTCAATGACCTTTTTCTGTTTCCGGCTTTTCAGCGCAAAGACGAAGGCATGCGCAGTTCCTCTAGTCGAGCTAAGGACACGAAAATGCGGAGAATCGTGTAAAACAATTGCGACATCTCGGGAACAGTCTCAAACATGGCTTCGGCATAATTCGAGCTTTGCTTCTGCGCTACACACGTACGTTCTGCCTCCTCCCTTCCTTTCTGTCTTTTCATGTCCTTTCATGTCTTTCATGCATCTATATTTTATTTAACTTTGAAGACTTGAGGTGCTTTTTGATGAGTTGAACAACTGCTAGTGTAGCAATATTAAGGTGTCTCAGTTCTCCTTTTTGACCTATGACTCCTCATCAATGGTTACAACTGCATCCGTCTGGCATCTCTGCTTTGTCAAATTGGGACATAGGAAGAATGCCTAACCGCATTGGGCTTTCCTGCAGCCTCTACAATCATTGCTGACATTCTTCATTCTTCGTGGTTGCTGCTATGATCAGATGCGTATAGCAAGCTTTCTCCATCCTTCACAATGGCGGGGCCGTTTCTAAACCCATTAAAGACTCTTTGAGAGCGAGAGGATTTTTTGCTCCTGACGAATACACACACACTCGCATCACCGGCCCATAGCACTCATAACACTAAAGCACTATGCTTCTTCCTACCTAGTGATATTCATATGTAAACTTTCCAGCCGTTTTCACCTCAAAATAACAGTTCCCTTTCAGTTACCGTCTTTTAGACAGGATTAATAACCCAGTCAATACATCTGTGACAAAAAATGCAGATGGCATGCCAATTCCGAACTATAGTTCACTTTAAAACTTTCTCGGCTTCAATATAATTAATAAAAAGTAACTATTTTATTACGAATGTGGAAGAAATCGCCCAACATAATTTCCCGCGATCTACTTTATTGGTCATCAGTAGTATGTTTGCTATGAGTGATATCAACCACTGTGCACTTTAGGGCGCAAGGAAAATACATGCAACCGCGGGGTGGTATGAACAGTCACGGTGGCCACGGTCGCCAGTACGGTCAACAGCAGTGCTTCCCGCAACAACAATTTCAACCCAATAACTGGATGGCCACAACTCAGTTCGTAAACCGCGCCAAGCAGGCAGCTCTTCAACAAAGTGGTAACCACCAACTTGCAGCCCTCTTTGCCGACTCTAGCGGGAGGGCTGGAGGCAACGGAGGCGGAGGCGGTCCGATTTCCTCCGACGGTTTTATGCGACCTCCGATGCCTGGAGTGAGAATGGGCATGGGTCCGCCGCCTCAGCAACAGGGAGGCAGCGGAAAAGTCAACTGTCATTGCCCCACTTGCATTGGAGGAAACCCGTTCCAAGGTCCCCGACCCTTGGTCGGCCCGCAAAATGAGCCACAACAACCACGAGGAGGCGTAATGACTTTCACTTCACAGCTGACGGGTCTGCCCATTCCTGAGCATCCCTCAGGACTGTTTCCTGCAGTAGATTTTGTCATGGTGCCTGCGACAGGAAATGGATTTGACGGCGGCTGGGATTGCAGTTGTGGACAAAGTGCGGTGCCAACATTTATTAGTGAACATCAACAGCAGATACCGCCACCGCCGCCACCACCACCGATGCAGCATCAACCGCAGCAGCAACAGTTTGGGTGGAATGGACCCATGGATAATGGCAGCGGAAGGTGCTACTGTGGCGGCACTGGCATGCAAATGAATAGCCTCTTTTAAATAATATATTTCCTAAGTGATTACCTTAAACGATACAACTTGATTGTAATTTCAAAAGAAATATATCTGGCGTCAGGTTTGAGTATTGGTCTTTTGTTATCATTGAATCATGACGTCTGATTACACGTAATGCCTTGATAGTTTGCCTCTGTGTTTGACTGCGCACAGGGATATAAATCTCCGCAGTTTGCACTTCCGTCTAGCAGCATGGCCTTAAGGCCTTGCAGTTGCCTTTCAGCCCTTCCGTATGCTAGTAAAGTATTTTCTGACCTACAACTGTAAAATTCTACGGATCCTAGGAAGGTCCGAGGCTCTGTATATGCACAACGCTACAATTGAAAAGAAGCGAGGAAAAAGTGGTGCAAAACATAATAACATTTCTGCGCTCTTGCTGGAGGAAATAAATCTATATTGAAGTGTAGCGATTTGATCCCTTATATGTATTTTGTCGACTTGCGTTCTGCAGATTACACAGATTACACTTCTTCTAATGACATGATCTTTCAGTCTTCTGTTTTCCATGTCACTATGGCTTATTGAGACCGCAGTGGAGACGCCGGACTCTACTCTAATACATTGGTTATATGCTTAACGCTAAGTTTTAGTAAAGGAGCCTTTTGGGTGCCCCGCCATTGTGCCTTCGCCATGTAGGCTGACCTCCAGGTCACGCTGGTGGGTCCGAGCCTTAGTCTATGTAGAATACATATATTCTAAACGAGTACCACATCCTCTCTACACTACAGATCGGCATTCTTCAGTCTAAGATCCATGCCACTTTGAAGCTCATTAAAGTCAACTTTCCAAAAAAGATCTGATATTCCCAATCTACTTCAGGTATTTAGGCATCAAAGCCAACTAGCCGCAAAACTTCAACTTATACTACAGTTTTCTAATTTCATTAAGCATACGCTTTTAAACTACAAATAAATAATAGCACAGATTGGTTGCCTGCTATTCCAACTTCTCGCGTGCACATGTAGTCTATCAAATTAATTAAAAAATAGATTTTGTATGCACATGAAGAATTGGGACAAAAATCAGTAGTGGCATTTTCAGTGCCATCAAATATGTGCCGTGCGAATTTAAACTACTTTAATCACTAACAACGGGAGCATAAATAATATGTGCATTCCAACTATAAAATTTGGTTTAAGGCCACAGATGTATAACCGTTCATTAACCCAGTACTTAACGCAAAATAAGCTTCAAAAATTCCAGGTTTTAATTAATAGCCTTCAAGGACTTATAGTCCTAGCCCTAAGGCTCCAAGTTTGGTTTGGTGCTCTTTGAGGCTTAGCTTTTAAAGTCTTAAAACTCTGTTCTTAAGATTGCCTTTTTTACTCGGCCGCATTATGCAATAAATCACCGTTTTTTTTCGTTGCTGAGGACCTTGTTCCAGCCCAGAAATAAAAGGTTTTTTGCCTCTCTTGTTTTGGTTTCTAGGATTTTAAGTGTCCCTTCTGTTTTTTACTTACGACATTACCGTAGGTCATAAGTATTTACGCTTGGTCTTGTCGTAGGCAGATCGGCTATTATGCTTTGGTTTACTTCTTAACGCCTTAATCGCTGCGCTAGTCTGTAGTTACCTCCAAATAAACCCCACTTATGTTTTTTTGTGATTATCTTACTCCGAAGCATTTTTACAGTTATACTCTCTTTTGGTGTTATTAGTTACTTAAAATGTGAAACCCTACTCCCTGTACTGCAAATTTGACCTCTCATTACTTTTAGTCCAACGAAACTAAATCTGCAACTCCCCTGCCAGATAACATTTCTGCATGGTATTCTGGCCACAATCGTTACCTCCTCGAATCCATGCTCGTCTTTGCTCTGCGTCGAGATTTCTCACAGGCAGCCTACAAAAGTAGGTAATGGCTGTAAATTTTTTGTCTACAGGTAGAGGCAAGATGTATTTGGTGATTTTGTAGTACTATTGCAGCAGACGGGATTCGTTTCTTTTAAAGTCTTGATTACTGTGCATCATTTGATTATGCGATTCCATTCTGCAGCACCTCAAGTCGTCTTTTATGGACGTTAGGGTATACCGGTGGGGCCAAAATTACCATTAAACCATAGAAAAGTCGGGCAGTTTTAGGTGTAGATGAAAGGCCGTATTGTCAAGGTGGTAGTAGAACTACCAAACCAAAATGTTATTACATAGTCTCCTTCTTCCTTAAACGTCTTCTTCAATGCTTCCCGTGACCATTCCCTTGCATCGGGTGCAACAAGTTCTCCCATGCGTTGTGTCCAGCCGCCCAGCATAGAAATGGCAGGCTTCCTAAATGTCGAGCTCTCCTCAAGACAGACTGTATTGGGAGGAGATTGGCTAGGTAGGCAGCGATGCATATTGGTCAATGTTATGGAGCAATGACATTCTCTTCATTAGTCACTTTCTCTAATTTCATTTTTCCAAAATGGAGTACGAGGAAGAGGGTTATTATACCCTCTGACTATGAAGCATGAAGTATATGTTAAGGTCGATTTTGGTGCATCTAAATTCAGTCTCTTCCCACCAGTGCCCATTGTACATAATTCGAAGTTTGGAACTCGCCGAAGACTGACACCCTTTCAACGCATCCGTTATGAGTCTCCAAGCCTCCACCCCTACATTACACACTGTCTTTCTCCTATAATATTTTGGTTTGATAACTGACAAACGGGGTTAGGATTTTTGTTCTCTCTGTTCGGATCCGCATGCCTCTCCCAAAAATCTGGTTTCTTGGATCATCTTTGAGACCGTGATAAGTGATGCCAGTAAGGAAGAAGGTTTATCACCATCGTAAGGAGAGCCTACAAGATAAACATTGATGGGAGGACATGCCACAAAGATGTTAGTAGATCCCACGAAGACCAAGGGACTCGCTGTCAATAAAATTGGACTTTCTGGATGGGGACTTCCGGCATGGCAGTTAAAATTTTAGGCCTATTCCTTCCATGCATAAGAATAACGTGTTATTTTTGTCAAAATCATCTGTAACTGTTACTAGTTCTTGTGGATGTTAATGGCAACTTCCAACCACAGTTGAGCCCAGTCGTGGTCGGTGGCGTTTCTACTAAATTATATTCAGTAGAAATATTTTTAAAGTTGCAACGGTGATGCGACAGGGTGGTCTGCAGCCATCCAGCATGGCATTGTGGTGCCTCAATGCGCAATCTCCGCGTCTCCACGACCTTGCAAAACAGTGCTGCACGACTTCCACGGATCCTGAACTTATCCGCATCCTGGAGGAACTCTCTCAAGCCGCTGAGGCTCTGGCTATAGCTGTGGGACACGAAAGCCCCTTCCAGACGCCCCTCCTTTGCTACAAGAACGACGTGGACAAATTAGTGAGTGCTGTCTCGTCATCTAAGTAAATATTTGCTTCTCTTAAATTAGCTTTAGAGAACCAGTGCTTGCCACTTGTTTTTTTTTGTCATTGCAATTCTGTCCAACCACCCCCCCGAGCAGGCATTGTAGGCAGGCCCGTGGTGAGCGCTTCAAAATTGTTCAGGTTCGGTATGGTTTTAGCTGTTAAAGTGATTGCAAAAAATTGGTAGAGTTTTGATAATACTATAGATTTATCGAGCCGTGGCAGACGCCCAACAGTGTAGTGCCATCTGCTGCCGTTACTGATGCAATAAAGATTTCACACCAACTTGGAAATATAAAGCAAAACGAACACAACGTGGTGTGATGTGTGGTGGTCTAGGCCTACGGATACTGATGAGTTCATGTTGATGAGTTGTGGAAAATTTCCGTCTCGCCGAAACCTTCGGTTACTGATTCAATATCTTTCTTTGCAATTTCAGCTCATGTTTCTCTACCTCGAATCGCCCAAGGAGGACCGATTCCCTGACATAGTGTGCAAATTAAACCAAAAATTTTCTCCACACTCTAAAGTTTGTATTTTTGTAACTATTCTCTACTCTCGTCCCTCTTGCGGCTATGTTAACTCGTCCACAATTGCCCATAGGACAGGGAAATCCAGTCATTTCGCAGTGACTATGCGAGGCTGCTAACATCGGTGGATGAAGTTGAGCGCTACATGACCACCGCTTGGTTGCCCAATCGTGAAACAGCCTTTGCAGTTCTCTTTAGCGACGCCCAAGCCGTAGCTCGCCATCTCCCCTACACCTTCTTCGACCAGGTACAGCCGACTTTAAGTTGGTGGAAAGAATGCCTGCTTCTTTGATATTCCGAGTAGAGTGGTTTTTATCCACCAGGTTGGAACACGTCACCATGGGCTTTTCGTACAGGCGGTGAAGAAAACGCAGACTGAATTCGGTCAAGTTGTGCTTTCGGTGTTAGCCGATGCGAAAGAAGAGCTCACTGAAGCAAAGCTTATTCAGATTGTAGACGCTATGGAGTCTCATTAATTTTAATTCCTTAATAAGAAGACCAATCTTTTTACAAATTACATCTGCCTTACTTATGGATCCTGGTTGCCGTCAGAGAAGCGTTTTTTGGCATGCTAAGCTATATGAATTTGCCGTTTTAGGGAAATGCGCTGCATTTGCGTCTGATGTCTTCACGTCTGCCGTATATTTGACAGCTGATTCAGCAACGCTACCTCTATATTACTGTTGCCTGGTAGAATTTTCCTGAAAACACTTATCTGATTTTGAGTGGCGTTCAAATCAAAACGGGACTTCGTTCCCTTAATTCCTGCATTCATGGGTCTCGCTTTGACTTGAATCCATATTTCACGCCAGAAAGGTATCCAGTGATCTTGAAATCAGCTTGACCATGACTACAACTTCTCACCTATATTGAAACTAGAAAGATTCGGGTAAATTTGGTACTTTTAAAACAGGATTGATAGCTAGATAAGTGTTGGACCAGCAATTTCTTCCCCATCTTGTAAAAATGGTGATTTTACTTATATTTGAAATTGAGATGTTGCATGAGCCAGAGGGGGAATAGATTAAATACTCGTATTTAACCTCTGAGGGTCGTCCTCTATTCACCCCTTGTGGTTGTAACTGGAGCGCTCTCCTTCCGCCGCTCATGGTGCTGAGTTTGTCCTCCTGGCGTACATACGTTTTCCACTCTGGTGGTTGCAAACTCTAAGACTGTGTATGGCTATTCAGGGCGGAACGTATGGTTTTTGATATCACCTTAGCGATCTATTCCGCCAAGCAGAAGAACAACTTACGGAGACTGAATCCAACCGCTTCGGTCGAGCGGTGAGCAGTCACCTCGACTCCACAGAAGGTGGTCCAAACTGTTTGGAGCAGTTGGGGCAACAAAACTTCTTTTGAAAAGGCACTCATCTATGATGCGCACTTTTGGAGGGTGTGGAGATGACAATCTTGATTGTTTATAAACAGGTGGATCACAAAACTGATTACAATAAACATCGATTTCGGGAATGTCATTGCCATGCCGTAGAATAAGGCAATTATTTGGGTCTGAGAGACACCAGGCTGTCAAGCTTTCAGTAGGCATCATATTTGGAAGAATCGCAAGTTTCTATAAATTTCTTCACGGATTAGTTTGGAAATAACTTGGTACTATATTCCACCACCCAAAAAAGATCTTTTCTGCAGTCTTTCTTAACTTGTCCGAGGAAGAATTGTCAAACACTCTCACTACACCGACCAGTTGCTTTTACATCTTACACCCTTTAAATGAAGCGAAGTTGGAAAGAAAAAGCTCCGGAATTGCAGTAGCTATTTCAGGACGGAAGAGTATCAGAAGAAGGAATTAACTGATTTAGTTTAAGTGTGTTACGGACCAGGCGTGGTGTTTGTGCCTGCACACGACACCCAGAAGATCAATACCTTTTGACAGGCCGCTTCCCCTTGTCACTGCGTTGTCACCGGCGTTAATTTTTACGGGGGTCAGAATCCGAGATTGGGGGGAGGGAGGAGAGGACGTAGGGGCTATAACACCTGCAGGGTCAATTCGTTATAAAGCAGTCTATGTAGCTCTAGTAACTAAGATGCGTAATTTCTCGAGCCGAGGGCGCTTCTCCGACTATGCATTCCACATCTGCCCCTGGATTTGTGGCGCGGTTGGTAGTAATTGGTGATGTCTATTCGACACAAATGTCTACGCAGGCGCGTGTGTGTGCGTACGACCTGTCAGTCCCACCGCCAGAGAGTGGACTGGCTATGCACCAAATGCGAGGGCAGCTACTGCTGCCTCCTGCTTCTATTATAGTAAGTCGACCCATACCCCGGTGACTCGACACACTTCCGTTCTCGCAAGTGAGATCGTATTTTTGGTCATAGTGTAGATTGTATGTGCGTCCGAGGAACGAAAACTAACCACGCTTTCTGTCCAAATGGCAGTGTACCAAAAGGATCCAATTTGGAGAACTATCTAATCATCTTTGTCCGCTTCCTATAACTAACCTGAGTACTCACTTTAATGGCTATCCATTTTGATTTGAAATTGGAGCTGGTAAAGAAGGCCACCATAGTTTGGAATATGGCATTAACTTTTTAAGAACTCCCGATGAAATCGAGCAAAACTTCTTGGATTTTTGCAAAAACTGGTGATGATATGGGTATTGCGTAAAAAACAGGCTACGCCAATCGGACCAATCAGATGATTGGACTGTTTGTTGAATCAAGAGGGGCTTCTGTGTGCCTCAAGCTTGTTTCTGTGGCCCTCAAATCTATTTGCCTTTCAATTCCCACGCCATCAATATTTTGAGAAAAAAATACAACTCCGATCCGGAGTCTGGAATAGAGACCTATGTTTTCAAGTGGACCTTAGTAGTTAACTTTAAGCCTCGAAGGGTTTTATTTCCGATAGAATGGAGATCAAATATTGGTGAGAAACCTGATCATGGAAGCGATTGGAAGCTCCACCTCTGAATGGTGTGGTTTATACCAGAGGGAAAAAGTTCTAAGCACGAACGACCTTTAGTGCGCAATCAGCCTGCAGTTTAGAGCTGGCCAGCCAAATTTAATGTCGGAATAAGTACCATCGCACTAGTGTTAAGGTCTCAAGGGGATACCAAAGGAATCGTAATCTCCCTTTTGTTGTTAACTTTCAGGACTAACTGGATCAACTTGTTGATTGCGGTTGTGTGAAGGGGGTGTCTCGAACTTTAAGCAGGCAGCATCTAATGATGACACCTAAGAAGGACTTAACACTTCTATAATCACGAAACAAACGTGGCACTCTTATTCCTAGTCTATGTTATGATGGAAGCATCCACCTTGAGTGTTTGCTTGTAAACTCTGCTTTCAGATCCCAGGTCTGATGTCACACACATGTGACATGTGTTTTGTCAGTTTTTATGGTAAGTGGTTGTATCAAATCGTGCTGCAGCGGAACTAGTGTAAGGAGACTTATATTTCTTCCCTTTCCGGGTAAAATTTGGATTGGTTGGTTAAAAGGTGTTACGCTGGTCGATTTGCCATGAAGACTGTGGAAACGGACACTTTGTTTAACCCTTGGACAACCAATGTGTTGGGCAATAGCATACTGGGAGACGTCCATGTCTGGCGTAGGTGTCACAAATGTTTTTGGTGGTAGTAATATTCAATTATATCCCTTATCATAGTCACCGCTGATTTGACAACTTCCTGCCCCGTTGAATTTCTTCTTAGTGTATATGGAATTGTCTCACTATTTTCTTTATGACCTTGGAGATGCCTCCTAACCCATCAGCCCCACAAGTTTCTAGTGAGTAGAAAGAGGGGCCACGCCTAGTGATGCTCTGTTGTAAGGGCGCGGAAAATGTGGGTGCGCATACACACACACGATCAAAATATCCGCCTCTTTGCTGTCCTCTGATTGGTTAGAAGGGGTCACCGCCCAACTAACGCGGGTGAAAGGTAGGCATGAAGGCAAGCGGGCAGGCAGTGGGGAAAGCGAGGGGAGGAGACGGAAGAAGCATGCGTATTCAGCCTAATTGTGTGTGGGTTGGCCTGGCAACAAACACCAGGGGCTGTGCTCACGCCTACCCGCAGGTAGACTCAAACCTGTCCCCCGCCTCCCACACTAGCGTTTATCCACCGGAGCCCTATCCCCAATTTTATTCAATTCATCCCCGGTGCTTTAACACTGTGCTACTGTGGCGTGCTGTGCCGCGATGGGCTGCGTGACCTAGGTAATGGCCAATCAAGAGACGGCACCGTGCACCGCAGTGCCACCTACCTTTCACTCCGGCCACCGTGCAGCATCAGTTACCAGCAAGGGGCTCCGCGTCGTTCGGCCAAATCAGGTTGCCGCAGCAGTAGTGTCAACACTACCACCACTTCCGACGCGAGCGCGATGTTTAGGGTAAAATTAAGCCTGCATTCATACATAGATGACACGTGCTTTTTAACGGTCCAGCTACCAGTTGCACTAAATCGTGCCGCAAAGGCGTTGGTTGAGTTTAAAATCATTAAAAAATGTAGGGTGTTTGCGTTCCGTAAGTAATTGCCTTCTTTGGAGTTGGGCAAAGGAAGTTAATGAGGGTTGATGTCATACTAGAATAATAAAAAACAGTGATTGTGGGGATAGACTTCCAAGATTCTGGCGGCGAATCTGTTAAGCATGGGGAAATCATGACGGTTTGGCAAAGTTTTTATCGATACTCGAGTTATCACTCTGTCTTTTCCAGATTAAATTTTCCCAAAAAATTTCGCAGATCTGTTCAAAAATTGCTCGTGCCATATCAAACTATCTCTTATGAGAAGTGCAGATATACTACTGAAATACGTCTGCCCTTCCTCCGTACTAGAGCTAAAGATTTGGATTTTAAGAAGAGCGCTATCAGCTAAACGTATAAAGTCATGAATAAATATTTCGACAATTCAATTGCTTTCACAACTATTTATGTATATTAATATTAAATTAAAATCTAAAGGGTCAAATGATCAATTAATTCAACCAATCACAACACTGCAAGGCAGACTTGGGGTTGCCACCCTGAGCCCCTAGAAATGGGCAAGCAGATGCATTATCTTGGTAAGCTGAATACCTGTTAACTAGAAAAAAATCAAATATGACTAGCCAGTGTCTATAGCGACCGCTCTTTCTGTCTTTACTTGGCGGTCACCGATTGATCAGTTGAGTTGCCTAACCAATTGTATCATTCTATAACGGATTCGACAATAAAACTCCTCTAGTATAGTGCTTACCACATATTTAAGTGTTTTATTGCTGAAATTGTTCACTGTCATGTTAATGTCGACTTTTCTTGCAAAATCCAATTACTAGGTTGACTATAATTTGGTAGCTATGCTGGTCCTCCAGGCAAATAAGGCAGCATAACCCAAGTGCATCGTTATTCTACGCCACCAGTTGGAAATTTTTCCGGCCCTTTTATTCTTATTGGTTTAAATTCAACTGGTCCATGTAACCAAAGAAATAGTAAATTGATTAAGAACACATGTCACACATGTGTGACGCCGAACGCGCCTCTGGTAGCGGACATGCAAAGACCCCAACCAAAATTGAAGAAGTTAATGCTTGATGGCCTTAAAAAAGTCTTTTAAAGCCCAACCAGAGATTATCTTGTTCTGAATGATTGAATCATTAAGTTTGGCACCGTCTACCTTGGCATACTTTTCAGATTACACAAAAGACCCGATTCAGCATGGGATTATTCGCATTAAACCGAGAGCGTAGCTCTTTTATCCAAACCACTCCTATAGGCAATTGAAGAAAATGTTGCAAACGTGCAATAATGCATATTATCAGACTCGAGTCAACTAAACTGATCGCAAATAACAATGAGTCTCCAAAATCTCCAATAACAGAGCGTCAGCATCATCGTCGAACACGGCAAAGGTGGGTGGATGTGATCGCTGCAGTCTGGGAAGGCAAGGATTTTTACAGCTTAGAAAGAGAGCTGTCAGTATATAGTGAATATAACCTAGAAAAGTGTGTTCGAGCGGCACCAAAAAGGGAGGACCAGCACTCTGTTGGAGGGAGTTTGGGTGTCCTGAAAGAAAAATTGTAGCTCTGACAGCGTGTAAGCTCGGCATTGAAATAATTTTTGCCACCTAAATCCATCTACAAGTGAGCTGAAAGCTCAGAAGTATCCGTAATGGTGTAATGGATACAGATTGGTCCGGACTTCCAGCTGACTACACCCACGAACATGAGGAATGGGAGAAGAAAGTGTCCTGAATGAATAACAACTGTAGGAAAGCTGAATTTTTAGAAAAATGGGTAACAGAGGGACGTAGGCGCAAATGTCTAGACGTTTATTGTGGCCTGGAACTGAAACAGCTAAAAGTCGGGCAGCTATTTGACGAACCGGAAGCTTGGTTCGATCGGATTTCTCCCCATTTGTTTAAATTGGGCACCTTGGGTAAAAAGTTTCCAACGAAAAATGCATCAATTAATCTCGATTATTCAGCTTCAAAAATAGGCTTTCAGGGTAAAATAGGCCATATCGTCCTCCGACCGACAACATCCTACATTTATTCTCTTAATTTGCGCTTAGCCAATCCAGTTACGATCCACTTCTGCGCAAGCATAGTTAACGTTAGTTTATATGTAATGCTGGGAATGAGTGTGTGGAACCGTAACGCTAAGTTTGGCTCCAGTTCGCTGTTTTCTACTCTATTATCCGTCGATGTCAACCAAAAGGTCGGGTGGAATTAAGCAATCTCTTTTTTTCTAACATACAAAAAAACATAAAGTTTGGACTTCTTCTTCAATGGTCTAAGACCCAGTTGTCTCGAAAACCTGTCTGTCAAAGTGGTAATCGGTAAGACCACTTGCCGTAAATCCACGCAAACGCTAGCCGGCGGGACCGCCCGCACTGAAATCGCCCACTCAGATTGAAATGGGCGGGCAGCCGGGGAACCAATTAAATCGGGTCAGGGGGCAGGCAGTCGCTGGGGCGAATTTCTCAGGGGCTAGCAGCTATCGATCGGAGGAGGGTTTGCTGTACCAAGGCATAGAGATGTTGGCGCTCTGCACCAAAAAGCGGGGCTAAATCGGCTCTTGGAGGGGTAAGGAAGGAAGCAAGGCAGGGGGTGGGGTGGAGTTTAAAATCAGAGCACTGGAACGTTGGTGAAATTGCCCAGTTTGAGTTTAGTTGGGACGCTGGTTTGGTAAGGCGTTTACAATTGTCCCCTTTTCGATTGTCTCTGTGGCTTAAAACTCACATGCTCTGTCATTTTAAAAATATAATTACCAAGATTAGGGGATTTTATAATGCTATCTTCCATTTTAGTCGTCCTTTTAAGGTGTTTTCACAGGATTTAGCACTAAAGGCTTTTTGTAGGCATAAAGTGAGGGGAAAGTAGATGGTGGTAAAGGTGAAATATAATGCGTTCGGTGTTCTATAACCATCCCAATACAAGTGACCACGAATTGCCAATGTGTGAGCGTTGCCAACAGCAACAAGAACACAATTCCTTTTGAAAGGCTTCCTATTCTTTCGAAGGTGATTGTCGGTTCCGCCTCCACTTGAAGTATGTTAATTATCTCACCACCCAAGTTTGGAGAGTGGAGACGCGCGATACCAAGGAGACGGCAAGTAACCGCCTGGTTCAGAAACTGGTCACCCTGCCCTCGCGATAGCAGGATACTTGGCAAGAGTGAAAGTGACTACGCACCTCCGACAGCAAATGCCAGTGGTTAGGTCATTAGCAGATGCAGCACTCGCACTCAGCCTTCCTAAAATACCTTACACTGTCATCTAAGTTAAGAACTCCTTCTTCTTCTTCTTCTTCATTCCTTGTGGTCAAGGTTGCAGCCAGATGGACGTTGAAAGCTCGCCACCACCAACACACCCCAGTATGGCTGGCTTTGAACTTTTCATTTGCCTACTGAAAAGGGAGGACTTTATTCCCATTTTGGGAAGAACACCCACTACCCAGCGTTTGACAGAACCATGTTTATCCACTTTAGCAACAATTTGCGCTGCTGCATGGTCATCCTCCGCCCTAGATGACAACTCTTACACCAAACAGCAAAGGCATCCATTCTACCAGACGGAAGCAGTCACATGGCACACGCTGCCAGGACCAATTACGCATTTCGGCCTTACCTCCATTGTTGCCATGGTAATGGAGAAACCGTAGCATTTTTTATCATGCATGTTTGTTGTATTCCACTGACACAGGGGTTAACAGCACCAATATTTCAGGCTGCGAGTAGCCACTTATTACCGAAGAAACTGTCTTACCACCCTAAAGTGATTCAACAATTTTCCGCCTTAGTAGGTATTTTAAAGTCGGCGATTCAATAGAAGAGCTTATTTTCTTTCCTCAGTAAGAGTCCTCTAAACTCGCGGCGATCCCTAGTGCCAGTGGCTGGTTTTGCCCTCACCGCAGGTGGGATAACCTCTAAACAATACATGGAATGTCTCTATAGAAAAGACTTTTGTTTTATGATCTTACCTGCTGCTTGCTATCATTTAAAATCCGCGTAAAAGTAAGGTTAGTATGTAATTTTTTAACTTTTTATGTATTATGATGACCAAACCTCAGCTTTATAGTATTTTTGGAAAAAAATTTCAAATCTTGCACTCTGAAGTGCCTGTTGGATCAAAAGTCAACTGATCTGTGGTCAAAGTAACCGAAAAAATCGGCGAATCGATCAGCCAATTGGGGAGTTTGACCAATCGTATCCCAGATCAGGGAGAATCAACAAAACCCATGTGACCGCTCCTCCTGCCTGGGATAATTAGGACCGAATTTTTTTCCCACCTTCTCATTCCACCACACACACACACATAAATAGTGTTTTGACTCATGCACACCTAACCAAAGTACGTGCTTGCGACTACGCCCATACACAGGGCGGGTATTTTCACGCAGCCAATCAGACTCTCGCCTGAGGCGTGTGCAGGCGCGCAATCGATCGAACCCATGGCGTGGCCGTGGCACAGGCGTTGCCACTGGCAACCCGGTGAGCGCTGTTTGTGCACGCAATTCCTGCTTGGATGTGTTGTAAAAGAGCAAGAGCTCACATGCGGGTTAGCAGAGCAACACAGCCGGTTCTCTCAAAACACACGCAACCATTCTACTCACCTCTAGGGGGTATCACCCTAACACAAATTTTTTGAACGATCTTTCGTACTGAGCGAAATTCCGTTCTCGAAAGGTCAATTTCCGCCCAAAATTAAGGCATTCCTTTTCACAGACTTTGAACCACTATTTGGACATGGGTGAAACTGTCTTGATGGCATGCACTGTAAAACTAGATCCTTCAGCCGGTTAGCGGTAGCCTTTTACGGCAGTTTGCCCAGTTGGGTATCACTTGGACGTTAATTCAAGAACATCTAATCTGAGCCATCTACCGTGGGTTTGTAGAGAGGTCACTTAGGTAACGAAATTATGGGGACGCCCTGTAGACAGAGGTGACGTACTGACTTGAATCGAACGCTCGGAGCCCAGAAGTAGGTCGGGTCTAAGGCGACAAGAATTCTAGTCAGAAATTTTTCCGAGTTCCTACCGAGGACAAATCAACCAACACAACCTAGGCGTTCCGTCGTATCGCATAGACGACGTAGCCGCTTGCACAACCTACTTGCTGTTGCTACGCAAACCGAGAACAGCCTACATCTACTCTACCAGCTTTAACGCAACAGGATTTAGTGCGACCGCAACACCATGCTCAGATGAGAAAGTAAGGTGGCGTTACACATGCGTACCGTCCAGCCAGCAATTGCCGTAATTTCGAGGTCACAGATGCAGGCAACAGATGTCAATCACTAAGTCAAGGAGGCTCTGTGCTACCCACTAAAAGGGAGGAATGGTTACGAATAGCCAAATCTTTCATTTCATAAATGGTAGGAACATAAATGCTACATCTCTATCACCCTTGAAGGCGCTTTCTCCCCTTCACTCTCAATGTTACGTTGAAGGGGTGGGAAAACATGGCCCCAATGACCTAGAGTCATGACATAGGCCGTAAGGAGGCCGTCGATCGGGGCAGGAACCGGTCCAGGTTCAGTGGTCTACTCACAACCCGGCTTTTTTTTTCATCTGAGCTGAAGTCATGTGCCGCGGTCGCAGCAGCCGCCCCACATATGGGGTGCGTGCAGGTGCGTACATGCATGTGAACGCACGCACATGTGCGCACACGCGCGCACGACTAACCCTCAGTTCAATCGATTAATACGCCATGGTTGTGACGGTGGTTTTGCCAGGGCAGAAGGTGCGGCGGAGGCGGGTGGGGGGGCGACAGTTCAACTTTGAAGGCCACCGCTATCGGTGTGCCTTTTCAATACTGGTGTCGACGCACATCACCATACACCTGCATACACATGTAATATCAAACTTTTCCTGTGATCTCCTGCATTTGGGGCTTGGTTACAGTCACCCCATCTCAAAAGTGACCTGACAGCTGAAGCCATGGCGTTGTGTTGACATATGTTTTGAAACAAAAGTAGTTCAACCCCCGCAAAGAGGACCGCCACGCATACACAGGATAGGGATGGTGTTTAATCTCTTACCCGTCAACACATTAAACCGGCTCGAGGTGTGGATGTTGAGGGTGGGCTATCTGAGAAACACCGGAAGCCCGACCTAGCCGAATTCGATCGCGCACAGTAACCAAGGCGGTGGCAACCCGTTGGTCCAGAGTCGGTTAGCCAATCAGAGGGCCAGCTAGAGGCTGCTCGTCTTGGTGGCAGTGTGAAATGGAGAGCTAGCTAGCTAGAGAGCGCGCGCCAAAAGACGCGGTCCTCGTTTGGGTGCACACGTGCGTTCGCGCTTGTGCGTGCGTGAGTGTGTGTCTATCTCACGCAATTGCGAGAGGCGTGCAAGCGCATACACGCACGCGCGCGCTTTGACCCACGCCAAGGTCGCGCGCCGATTGGTGGTGACCCGTAAGCGCAGGGAAGGACAACTCGTTTGGCGGCGCACACAGCCTAGCCGCCTCATTTGACGAATCTAAAACGCGTCGTGAGAGCCGCGTTGTCTATTTCTCTGGCAGTTATTATGCTCGACGCTCTGACCAAGGAGGGCATCTCGACAGTCACTTCACCGTCTCTAGCTCCCATTACCTCGTTATCTGCGAGCACCCCTAAGCCACTAAAAAGGGCCATAATGGACATTGACGAGGAGGAGGAATTAGTCGTTGTTGAGCCCACGGACCCTGACGAGGATCGTCTCCGTGAGGCAACTCTTCAAGCTCAGCAAGAGGCTGCAGCAGTTGTAGCAGTTCAGGCCGTCTCGGAACCAATACCCCCTCCTCCACCACCGCCGCCACCGCCACCTTTTTCTCCCCCATCCGAAGCCATGGATTCCAATAAAAATGTGGTCACTACCGACCCAGTTTTGCTCAGTCAAATCATTCAAGCTTTGAATGCCAAGCCGAATAACCAAACTGCTGAAAGTACTCAGCAACCGCCAAGGTTCCTAGTCACCTCTTCGAACAATGTGCTAACCTTTCAGCCCTCTCCAGCCCCCATTCCTCCTCAGACGTCTTTCATGGTTCAACCACTGAGTGGCTTCCAGGCAGCTAGACTTTTAAACCTTACACCAGCTACTCCTCCCCCTCCGACACCGATCTCAAACACAGGTCTGCAAAGTCTTCTTTCAACGGACCCGCTACTCTATGGAATCTTCGTGAACTGTGCTACTTCAAATATGATAACCCAACTGGCAAATTCCATCTCCGCATCTATGATATCCTTCGCCCAGTTGGTGGCAATTGATAAAAACATCAATCTGAACAATCAAATAGCCGAGATTACGCAACTTATTTCAGCTCTAATCAATCTGGCCACTTCGCTCTCCACCACGCTACCAGGTTTGATGTCCTTGAGGGGTGCGGTTAACCCGGCACCAACAGTCTGCACTCCTCAAACTAATCCCATTCTCACTAGTCTCATCGCTGCTTCCTCGTCCACACCTTCACCCTCACAACCGACAAACACTCCTCCTTCAACAATGACAGGGAATTCGACGTCCAAGAATGTTCCTCCACCACCGAACGTAGTCTGCCCTCAGCCCCGTACTCCTGTTCAGGTGAAACCGGAGCGATCCACTTCGTTGATGAGTGGTAAACAGAGTCCACCAGTTGCCGGTCTGGTGACAAGGTCCGGCACAGTCCTAACCTCTGTGAAGACGAGTCCGCGTCCGAAGCGGTTCATATGTCCACATTCTGGCTGTACCCGGGCTTTCGCTTCGAGATTTAACCTCGTTGAACACATCCGTATCCACACTGGGGAAAGACCCTTTGTCTGCCCTGAACCTGGATGTACCTCGAGGTTCAAGAGACGTCGGGATCTCTATGAACACTCCACGATGCATAAGAAGCGTGTTCCCAACCCTGGAAAAGCTCTCCTCGTTACCTCGGTTCTCCCAGAGAAAGGGAAGGCTGTGCCCAGTGGTGAAGACAATCGAAGACCACGTCATTTCTGTCCATTCACCAATTGTCATCGCTCCTATGCTCGCAGACATCGTCTCAATCAGCACATGTGTCTTCACACCGGTGTTGGACCCTTCTATTGCGATCAACCGAATTGCAATGTGCGGTACTTCAATTCCGACGATCTCGAACGTCACAAACTCGTCCATCTCCTACCGACAAGCAGTGATACTGCAAAAAAGCATATCTGTCCTCATGAAAACTGCGGGAAGGTCTACTCGAAGCTAAACAAACTGCGGGAGCATGTTCGATCACACACTGGAGAAAGACCGTTCATTTGTGAACGGGAGGGATGTGGCGCTTCATTCAGTCGACCTTATGGCCTCAAACGTCACCTGCTGACTCATACAACCGCGACAGCAACCGCTGACATAGCAGCCAATTCGGATGCTCAGAATTCAAATCAACCTTCATCCTCCAAAGTGGCAAACCTTGTCACATCCGTACCAGCCACAAGAACATTGACAGCGGTGTTCCCTCAGACTCCGACACTCATCTCCAGAGTGTCTCCCAACCCCCAGCCAACAATTCTCAACCTCGTGCAGGCTTTGACTTCTTCTGGCGTCCAGTTGCAGCCGATAGTCACGAGTGTGCCGAACGAGGAAACCCCTCAAACTCCTTTGAACGTCACAATTAAAGCAGATCCGGATTCTACACCCGTATCCACAGTCACTTCCACTCCTCCCAATGTTACAATCACTTCAGTGGCGTCGAGTTCAACAAATAAACTACCTCTCGTTCAACGCTCCAGCAAGGCAGCTGCTACACCCTCTGCATCAGCATTGGCAGAGAAGGCAATCGTGATTTCAGGGCCTTTTGGAAAGCGGCGACACATCTGCCCCATGCCTGGATGCACAAAAATTTTCCCCAAGTTAAATAAGCTGCGGGAACACATCTGTCGGCATACTGGAGAACGACCATACGCCTGTGATGAGTGTCCTGCCACCTTTGTTAGAATGTACGATCTTCGTCGCCATGCACTCATTCACACACGTAGACGGCTGGGAATCCTTAATAATGGCGTATGAGCAACTGTGATCCCTCTCCTCTGTCTTGTGTCAGTGTTGTTTAATTGTTTAGTTCTCCTCCCCCTCTCCCTTCCCCCCCCACCTCCTTCCCAGTTTTGGTTGCTTTTTCCCTTTTGGTGGAAACTGTGTATAGAGTGGGATAGGGGGTCCCCCTATGTTGCCCCACCCCCCTCTTTTCACTACATGTGAATTGTACCCTCGTACACATGCACGTCTGCACACCTTCATGTATTTATGCATGTATATTTCCAATTAAGTAAATCACTGGCTGTGCCTCCACTTCAAGAGACTGAAACTTCTTCTGTTGTTAGCTACGGTGATTGTTTTGACCTGTAGTACAGGCGACTACAAATAACCCACGTGTATGCTAATGTCGCTTGTGCCAAAAGTTCAAGGCGCCAAATGGTGGTGGTGATGATGATGGCGATGGTGAGTCACCATAGGCATGGGACTCTGCTAATTATCATATCTTGCCTTCCTTAACTGCTATGATGAATGCACGTAGTACAGGAGATCTGTCAATGTCACCCTCTTCTGTTGGCATGGCGTAAATAGATCTCACCTGCCACGTGATCGGCCATGACCTACCCCAATGTCGGACGCATTAACTGACAGCATTCGAAGGGCGTGTGCGGGTAGCCGCTAAGCTGTTGCACAAACAAACCTAAGTTAACATTGCAATTAAGTTTGACAGCTTCTGTCACACCCGAGTTATCCCCAAGCCAATGACTGGAGCTGGAAGGAATGCCGAGAAGACCTGCAAGTCTAATAGAGGGTGACTGAATGCACCCTCAGGCTTACTTTGGGTGTCATCCACGGTGCTTACAGCGGTCACTCCTTCCTATTCAGCAGTCACAGCTGCGATTGGCCAAACCTTCTGCTGGTCTCACCTCCTTCGCTGTCCAACTGCCTCTTTGAGCCTTTTCCTTGGGCCGTTTCTAATTGTCAACTTCTGATCTGCACAATCCAATGCGAATCCGTTTTCATTGCATCAGCAAAACAGGGTATCACGGTGTCTCAGTTACTGCTATAGGTGGGTTTGTACTGTAAGCGTAGGGAGGCTTTGTGGCAGGCGAGTCCTGTCAGACTTAAATGAGATTTAGTGATCGCAATTTTGCGAGCGGACCTAATTGTCCTCTGCACACTTTCATCTGGCGTGTGAGGCGCCAATTAGTGCCACCAGGCACATCAAAGCGCCAGTCAAAATGGTGATATCTTACCCAAACCGTCAGTTTATTGCCTGGAGCGCCGAGTCAAACCTGAAGATGTAATAAAGCACACCAAATGCGACAAAGTTCATTATTCGTGTACAGGTATGGGAGGTCACAGGAAAGGACGGGAAGGTCCTGGCGTCAAGGCGGTTAATGAGCAGCCAGTGGAGCCAAAGCTATCGTTTCACTGCACTTGCTACTGAATTCAGAAGTTCTCTTGCAAGTTCTCGCTTCTTTTAAGCGCCAGACACGATTGCGTGAGTTTGTTTCTCCTCCTCCTTTGAAGTCAGACCAGGCTGAAGTCTACTGGAGTCTTTAATTTCTCTCTACCCGACTCCGCCTGTTTTGGAGAGAGGTATAAGCAGAGGTGGTACGAGTGCCTCCTCTCAGTTTCAAGAATTGAGTCATCGCTAGAGGGAAGGAGAAGGTGAGGGCAGGGCGACAGGACTGGTCGCGTCACCATCAGACGTGTATCCCCAAGCCATGACTAATATGTTTCGTGAGGGGACACCCTGGTGGCAGTAGAACATTCAACTCAGCGTTGGCGCCTTTGTCAGTAATGGCGGGAATGGTGTCTGCGTGGATAAGGCGAGGAGATACTGAATTAATAACTCAGCTCGAGTTGGAGTTGATGCTGCTTTACTATCCAACCATCGTGGAACCCAGTGATAGTGTTTCTCAAAATTGTCACGCATATATGAGGCCAAATAATGTGAAATTTGCTTCTTGTAGCTTTGTGGTGGCTAGTTGCTGCTCCTTTCTCACCGCAGGTAGGCTGCTTGCAGACTTCATGCAAACGGGGTTCTTTTGATCTGGATGTGTGTGATGGAGCTACTTCTACCCGGCTAAACGGCTGACCCCACGATTCGGCTGCAGAGATGACACCCCGAGGTGAAGCTTGCGTGCGTGTGCCCTCAGAGCGAGGATAAAGGTCCCACCCTCACCTCAAATCTAACATGAATAAATGAATAAATTTGAAAACTGACCCCAACGGCGTGACGAAGGCGTACCATGCTGGACGTCTAGCTGACAGGAGTAAAGAACGAATCCCACAGGTGATTCGCGAGGGCGGTCAATTGGGGAACCAAACCCGCAACAACCTTGATTTCAGTCGAAAGCGGTGTAGGTGTTCATTTATGAACTGGATTTCCAAATGTTAGAAATGTAGTGATTTATTTTATTTCGTACTTGTCTTGCTAATATTTCCTCTCTTCAGTGGTCCCCTCGATGCCATCATGTGATGCGAGGCTCAGGAGAGGGGATTTTGCCATACAAGTTTAAAAGACCTGACTGGATGCTGATAAAAATGGCGTAATTGGAACGCCACTTTACGAAAATGAAAGACGAAAAGATAGGGGTTAAAGTGCTCATGTTGTAAAATCATAGCAGAGTTAAACCGACCCTCATGAATTGCATGTTTTATTGGTCCAATGAAAGAAATTTGTTATAAACTTGTTTGACCAGATGAAAGTTTTTTATGTAGTAAAAAATCATAATTATCCTTTATTATTAGACAATGGATTGTTTTAGACGCAACCAATCCGATTGTCACAAGATCTGGCGCAACTATTGGCAATAAAAACTGTCACATATTTGTGACACCAGACCTTGATTAGATGATTGGGAGGTAATGCTTATGTGACACTGTCATCAAAGGCATCAAATCAGCTGTTTGGATAATTATTTCCTCGAGACTGAGTTGAAAATATCAGCATGAATGTTTTAATCGTGATTTACGGAGGAATTGCTTTCCACCAATCGGATATCTAGGGTCTGTCCAACATCCTAGCCCATTTATTCCAAATAAAGGCTTTCATGTATCCGATTGGGAACACTCGGCTCCCCTCCACGTGGTGGCTGCTGCCAGCTGGAGGTCCGGGACACTCTGTATCCGTCACACCGGTACGACCTCTTTCCAACATTTTATCCACGCTTAGATGACTTTTCGGGAGAGAGGGAGGGAGAGACCTTGATCCCCATATTCGTTCCCACGTGCCAAGAAAGATGAATTTGTGTCCCTTATATAAAGTGCATTTCAGAATGCAAACCCTTCCTCTTTCGCACAGCTTTTAAGATTTTCCCATCCGTCTTCACTAGAGATGGACAATTCTTCAAGGATGGGCAGTCTGTCAGGTAGAAGTAGTCTCATGACAATGTTTGGTATGATTAATTCTGATTGAAATTTACTGCCTATGAGGTAGGCAATTCAAACGAGAGCATTATGTTCAACTTGACTCCTGGATGGCACCTGGTAAGACCTGTCAAGCACCGGTTGAGCTGGATGTTCACAAGAACGGCCACTGAGGCTGTGGGCTAGGAAAGCTGGGGGGTATTACGGCCAGGATTCTGTGTGACAAACAAATGATCACCTTAGAAACGTCTGCACCCTACACTTACATTGCGGACTTCTAAACGCTTGGTAGTTGCTGTCCGCCGGTTCGGATTTTACGCCTTAGTTCGCAGGCGACTCTTTTTAGCCGTATATATTCACGAAAACAGGAAACAATTGCTACTTACTACCGTCTGCTTCCATGTTTGCATTCTTTTTTATCCGTGAAGAGCTAAGTCTCGACTTGACCTGAACACTTCCCACAGTTGCTAAGACAATAAGCGTACCATAGAAACAGAGATGTGACAAGTTGATAGGAGAAGGGTTGATGGCATGGGTATAAGACAACACTATTCTGTTATTGCTACTTCTGCTACGCAACGCCAAGAGAGAGCGGACAGGCGGACAGGCAAGCGGATGGACGGGCGGGGGCTACCGGCAATGGGGTGACTCACCCACTCCCTTAAGGCCTCGCCCACAGCCCACACACCCCAATCACCACAGTTAGCAGCAGCAAGGGCAGCCGCAAAAGTAACAGAAAACCCGACATGGTGGCACCATGATGCGGACTGCAATTACCTCTACTTAACACCTCCTTCGCCTCCACTAATAGCTTCTGCTTAGGCAGTGTACTTCACCAACGTCACATATACGTGACGCCGGATCGCAAGTGTTCTTCGTGCGGTCTTGCTAAGTAATGATTGAGCAAATTGGTGGGGCAGGCGGATGGACTGAGTTTAGAACAATGTAGTGGCTGATGATGGGGTAAAAATACATCTCTTTAGTCTTTGAAAAACAATTTATTTAGTCAAATATATTAACGACATTGGTGCCATCGATGCGGTCTGGGGGGATCACTAAGCCCTCTGAGGCCCTGGTAACTGATATGCTAAAATTATCATAACCCAAAGCTTGACGGCCACTCTTCCATCGACGTGTTGTGGTAGTGGGTGTACCCACCTTGAAGGGCTCTGCGTTTGTCTCAACAGGATGGCTGGTACTGAAGTACGAGGCAAGGGGCAACTTTCTCTCCATCATGGGCTTGGGATATGATAAACTTTCTGTCTACGATATCCCCGTGTAAGAGGAAGAGAGAGTACTCCGGTACTTACTAAAGTCGCAAGTAAAAGCAGTACTGACCGGTGGAGAACGTCGCCCCGTTTTAAGTACCACCTATTCAGCAACAATTCATTGTTGTAATTTGGACGGAAAGTGCAACTTTTAGTTCAAAACTAGTAAAGTTTGCGAAAAGGATTTTGTGTGTGTGTGCAAGTATGAACCTTTAAAAAGCTGAAGGAAAGGAAAAAAAGAGCGATCAAAAAGTTTCAAAAATGAGGAAGGGTACGACCTCATTCAAATGGTGGCTTTGATCAGCAAAGAAGGGTCATTAAATTTTCCTGTCCCAAAGAAATTATTTAAACACGTTTTATAAATATCCTGGCTGAAGGATAGCAATTGGAGGAATTTCTGATTTAAGAACACATCAAATATGGCAAGTTCTGCTCTTTCCCTTGCTGTTCCATGCATTTATTTATCCATCTGTTTGTCTATCTGTGTACATCCATCCATCCTGTACCTATGTATTCATCAATCCAAACATGCCCCATCCATCCATCAATCCATCCATCTATTTGTAGTGATTTGGGTGCTCGCCACCATCTGGCATTCAGCGGTTAGGCACAGCACCGAAAGTCTGCTAATGTCACACTTTGAACTTTCATGACTTGGAAAGATTAACAGGATTTGCAATTCCTTCCTCATTTTTTTCGAAAAGGCTAAATGCGGGGAATCCATTTCTTCCACTCCACTCTTTTGGATGGCAAACGGATCACATTTGGGTGGCCTAGAGATGGAAAAACTTATGACTCCTCTCGTTTTCATTCAATTCTTCTAGTTTAAATTTATTTCATGGAGAAAGATCATAGAAAGGTGGCTTTCTTACGATAGCTAGGCATCAAAACAATCTCTCATCCTTTCCACCCAGTAAGACATAAGCGTGTTCTAAATCCCACTTCTTACAAACTTTTGTGGTTGTAAGAATGCAGTCAAACATAGCGCCAGCCATCCGCCGTTTCCATGTAGCCCTTCCATTTCCCAGCTGTCCATTCCCTTCCCCTTCCTTCCATTCTATTCAATTCTACTGCTCTGTAATGTTATATTTGATTTCGTTTGTAGTCATTTGATTGTGGTTTGTGATCATGTTACTGCTATTGCCAATGTAAAGGATTAGAGATTAGCATCGCCCACAGCTCAAAGAAATACCATTTGGTTAATATAGGATACAAACAAGAGCATCAACTAGTACCTTTTTGCCTTTCGCCCTCAATCCATCCCTCCCTTCCATGCTTCCAGCCCTGTTTTCGCATCAATAGGTGTCAATCTGGGATCACCTCATGGACACATTCTGTAGTACAAGGTGTTCAGTTGTT